TTGCCACGCGGCCAGGAACGGCTTTGTGACCGTCACGCGCTCGCAGAGCCCCTCGAAAGGGCAGGCGCGGGCGGCAGCCGCAGGCAGCCCGGAGCACACGTGGCCCCCGCAGCACCCGGCCAGGTAGGGCGAGCGCTGCGCGGGGATCCCGCTGGAGGCCGAGCGGGTCCCCGTGGAGGGGCCGGGAGCCGGCGCGCAGGGTGATGCAGCCGCTGATGCTCCCGTGCTTGGCAGGGGCTGCTACCCGCTCTGGGTCGGGAACCTCTCCAACGGCGTCACGGAGCAGGCACTGCAGGGCTCCTTTAGCCGGTGAGCATCGCCCCCGCAGCCGCTGCGCTGCCCGGCCGGGCCCTCTGTGTCCCTGGGATGAGGGCTGTGCCCCCGTGCCCTGCTGGCCCCTCCGTGTCCCTGGGATGGGGACTGTGCCCCCTGTGCCCTGCTGGCCCCCCCGTGTCCCTGGGATGAGGGCTGTGCCCCCCTGTGCCCTGCTGGCTCCTCCGTGTCCCTGGGATGAGGGCTGTGCCCCCCGTGCCCTGCTGGCCCNCCTCCGTGTCCCTGGGATGAGGGCTGTGCCCCCCGTGCCCTGCTGGCCCCGAGCTCCCGCGGGAGCCCAGCCTGTCGCACCACGTTTCGTCTCCGTTTGCGGGGTCTGTGTTGCCTCTCCTGAGTGTCAGAGCAAAAGCAGGTCTGGGCATCTCTGGGTGGCAGCGAAGGCAGCTCGGGCCCTCTCTGTGCCGCAGGTTTGGGCAGATCCGCTTTGTGCGGGTGCTCCCGGGGCGCCACTGCGCGTTTGTGAACTTCGTGCACAAGGAGGCGGCTGAAGCGGCCTACAGGAGCATGCTGGTGAGCGCTGGGGCTGCACAGGACTGCATGGGGGCATGCAGCGAGACAGAGCTGCACAGGGGCTGCATGGGGCTGCAGCGAGATGGGGCTGCACAAGGGCTGCATGGGGGCATGCAGCGAGACAGAGCTGCACAGGGGCTGCAGCGAGATGGGGCTGCACAAGGGCTGCATGGGGGCATGCAGTGGGACAGGGCTGCACAGGGGCTGCAGCGAGACGGGGCTGCGCACAGCCTGCTCCTGCCGCTGCTCTCCGTGCGGGGTCGGTGCTCACGGCTCTCCCTCCGCAGGACAAGGACATGCAGGGCACCAGGCTGGCACTGCAGCTCAAGCACCCGTCCCACGCCACGCCGCCCCCGGGCAGGCACAAACCCAGCGTCAAGTAGGTGCCTGGGGCTGCCGCCCGTGCCAGGACGTCCAGCGAGTGGCCAGGAGCGGGGCTGAGGGCCGAGCAACTCGTACCCGGCTCAGCGCGGGGCAGGGCTGGGCGCTGAGCACCTTGCACCCCAGCTCAGCGCAGAGCACCCGGGCCTGCTGCTGGCACCGTGTGGCTGTCCCGTGCCGGGGGGGCACTGTGTGGCTGTCCCATGCCTGCCGCCTTGGAGCCCCCGTCCCGCGCAGCAGCGGCAGCCCCTGCACCCGAGCAGGGCCCCGCAGCTCCAGCCCTTCCCGCGGCTCCGTGCGGGCCCTGGCGCCTCCGTGCCCTGTTCTGGGTCAGCAGGGCCGCCCTGGCCCAGGGAGCCGCCTCTCTGCTGGCACAGAGCGGTGCTGGGGGGGCTGCCCTGGCCGGGCCCCCTCTACCTCCTGCCTGCTGCGGGTTGTGCCTTGGGGGGCTGCGCGCAGCCCCCTCCCCACCTAGCTCCCACTGCCCCCTCCGGCAGCCTCCCAGGGGCGGCTCCGTCCCCGAGGGCCGGAGGCCGCTGCCCTGTGTGCGCCCGGAGCCGGGGGGCTGCAGGGCCAGCCTTTGAGCCTGCCCTGTGGTTTAGAATAAAGCTGAGCCCAGCACAAGCAGCTCCTGTCCTGCTGGGCGCTCCCAGCGCAGCCCCGCCTCTCCCTTTGCCTTCCCTCCCGCGCCCAGCTCCCCGGCATCGCGGGGCAGGGTGGGCACTGGGGCACCCGTCTGAGCCCACACGACGCGGCCCAGGGGAGAAGAGCAGCCCCTGCTCCCCGCGGCCTCAGTCGTCACCCGAATCCGTCTCACTGCGGAAGCCTCCGTGCTCCCGAGCCGCGGGGAAACCCAACACCGGGGCTGGCCTCCCCTTCGGGTGGGGGTGCAGAGGCTCCGGGGGGACCTGGTGTCCCATTTCAAAGCGGGAAGCTTTCCCAGGGAAGGCTCAGGCTGCCGGGACGTGTCCCGTCTCTGTCCCCGCACCGCTGGCAAGCGATTGATTGCCTGGCACTAACGCGGCCTTTGAAGCGCGGGGGCTGCCGCTGGGCTCCATTAACGCAGCAGCACCCGTGGCACCGGGGGAGGCCAAGGTTCCCATCCCACATCTGGGGGATTTTAGCAGGATTATCACTAATGGAGCCGCCCTGTGGCCCCCCTGCTGTCTTGGGGAACCACACTCGGCAGCGCCTGCTCCCCAGGGCCCCTCGGGGCCTGCACAGTGGTGTCTGCATGTGTCCATTGCCCTGGGCACCTGGAATGTGCCCTGGGCCCCGGGATTGTGCCAGGGCAGCCCCCATTCCCTGGCTGCCCCCTGACCGGGAGCCGTGGGGGCCCTGCCCCACTCGGGCGGGGGGCTCCCCGTGTCACTGCAACTCGGCTGTGTTTCTTGCACTGCGTGTTGTGGAGCTGTCGTCCCGTGGGGATGTCCGCAGCGGTGTAGCCACGCGTGCCGTGCCCGGACCCGGCTCTGCTGCTGCGGGCTTTGCAAAGCCCCTGGGGCTGCACACGAGGGGCTCGCAGTGGGTGCTGCGGGTGCCCCTGGCCCCCAGGTGTTCGCACCCATCACCACGAGTCCAGACCGGGCTGCCGCTCGGCCGCCGGCGACGCTCCCCTGTGACCGGGCTGTTGGCCGGGGCCGCGAGCCCCGAGCGCGTCCCTGTGTCCCGCTGCCCATCTCCATGTCCCGGGCCCGCAGCGGCACCAAGGGGCGGGTGAGGCCCGCGCGGCGGCGGCCGGAGCGGGGCCGGGGCTGGGCGGGCACCGGGCGGGGGCAGCGCCAGCCGGGGATGCGACCGGAGCAGCGACCGGAGCCCCTCGGGTCGCTCGTTGGGGGCCCGACGGCTGCGCGGGGCTCGACGGCGGGATGCGGGGAGGGACCCGTGGGGGAGGTGGGATGAGGGGGACGGGCAGGGGCAGGAGGGGGAGCCAGGGGGGGGTCCAGGTCCCTCGGCGGGCAGGCCCGGCCGAGCCTCGTGCCCCAGCCCCACACATGTGGGGTGATGGGGCCGCAGGCAGCCCGAGCAGCACGGCCCATGGGGCCGCGGGGGGGTTCATTACTATGCAAATGATCGCCGAGAGGAGCAGTGCGGGAGATGCCAGTAATTAATCACCGGTTAAAAGAAATTAAAACCAACAGCGGCGGTTGTCAGGCAGCAGCAGCGGGGTTAATCGCGCGGAAAATTGGCAGCGCAGGGAGATGCGGGAGCACGGGGAGCAGCGGCCCGCGGGGCGCCTGGCACGGCCCCCGGGGCTGCCGGGCACGGCCGTCACCCCCTGCCACCCGGGGCTGCCCGGTGCCGCTGACAGGCACGGCCTGCAGAGCTGTCACCCCTGTCCTGGCCGTGCCGGGCGCCCCGGGGGGATGTGGGGGCACAGGTGGGGGATGCGGGCCGTGGCAGGACGTGTTCCTGTCCCCGCAGCGTGTGTGCATGCGCTCATGTGTTAGTGAGCACCCGTGTGTGCAGGTCCCTGCACGCACACGCTGAGGGGACATAGAGCAGTGCCGTGCACACGCTGTGTCCATGTCCACACTGTGCCCATGCCTAACCTGCATCCAGGTACACACTGCATACATGTGCACACTGCATACATGCCCACGCTGCATTCATACCCACGCTACATCATGCACTCCTGCAGCCTGCACGTGTGCGTTGGGCTGCACACAAGCCCGTGTGTGTGTCCGTGTGGACACTGAGCCTGGCCCTGGAGGCACCATGTGCACACGGGTCTGTCGGAGTGGCTGCGCGTGCCGGTGCCCAGGCACTGCACACAGATGCAGCACGGGGTGGCGGTTCCCACGTAGGGTGACTGTTCTCAGGTGCCACAGTCATTCCCAGTGCCTCGGTCCCCCTGTGCTGCTCTGGCAGTGGTGGGACCTGGCACGTTATGGCCTTGCTGGTGGCAGCGCGCCCAGCGCTGCTGCCGGCTCCCACGCGTGCGGCCAGCTCGACGCCAGACGCTGCCCGGCAGCCGCTTCCTCCTTGCGATTAGCAACCCCATGGGACAGCCCAGAGCGGGGCAGCGGAGGGGCCGGCAAGGACGGGGGTGCAGCCAGCTGCATGGTGAGGGGCCATGGCGAGGGGCGCTGGTGGAGCACAATGGGGCCCCTGGGCCTCCCACAGCAGAGCAGGCCGAGCGTGCCATGGGGAGGAGGTGGACGGGGGCTGCTGGCGTTGGGGTGTCCCCATGGCAGAGAAGAGCCTGGGCTGGGTGCCTAATCCCACACTGGCTCCTCCTGCCAGCCTCCTGTGCAGCACATGTACCTGGGCACATGCATGCACATAAACACACACATGCACATGTGCAGATACATGTGCACACATGAACCAGCCGTGCAGACACCGTGCAGGGTGCTGACAGAACCTGCTGTCCTGAACGTGTGTGTCTGCGTGTTGTGCCTGTCTACCTGCCTGCGCACCCACGTACACGTGGGGCTGCGTGTGCTGCCGTGCGTGCACACCCGTGTCTGCACCCCTGCTCTGCTGTGCATGCGGCGGCCGCCCTGCAGTGCGGGCAGGCTCCACGTGGTCCTGCTCCCTGTGGCGCTCGCAAGCCCCAGCTCTGGGGTGCAGAGCCCATGGCAGCCATCGCAGAGGCAATGGTGAAGGGCACAGAGCCCACGGCGGTGGCCGCAGACCCCATGGTGGTGGGCACAGCCCCACAGGGCAGGGCAGAGCGCAGGGGCAGAGAGGGACAGCGCAGCCCGGCTCCCCGGTGTGGGCTGGCCGTGTGACGGGCGCATCCTCTGCGCCTGCCCGTGGTTTCCTACCTGTCACATGAACCGCAGTCCCGGGGTGGGGGGGAGGCGCTGCTCAAAGGCACTTTCAGACTGAATCTGCTTTGTCCCCTCCCCTGGCTGCGGCAGCGTGGGCTGGGGGGAGGGCCACATGATGTCATCAAAGCCTGAGAAATGCCGAGGGGGAGCCGGGGGGGCAGGTCCCGTGCAGGGCTTTGCACCAGCGCAGCCGCAGCAGCGGGGCCCCCTCCCCTCCAACGCCTCGGGTTGTCCCTGCTCCCCCGCAGGTGAAGTGGAGCCTCTCCAGCATTCAAGGGTGACATCATGGTGCAGCACGGTGACGTCACCACATCATGACGTCATGGCACTGGTAGGGCCTCTAAGCCTCCAAGCAGATGTCCCCATGGGGGGTTAAGAATGGGGCGGCTGGATGGACATGTCCCCACTCACAAGCGTGTCCATCCACACTCCTGGCCGTGCTCCACGGCAGCCACATGCAGCGGGATGGGCACATGTGCCACTGCGGTTTGCGCATGCAGCCATCCCTGCCATGCACATGTGTGCACATGCGTATGCGCAGGCGCCTCGGCCAGCTGGCGCACTGCCATGGGGGGAACCGTGTGCTCGTGTGTGGCAAATGGGTGCAAACACATGGGTGCACACACAGAAACACACAGAGACACGTGCAAGCACATGGGTGCACATGTGGACACACAAGAACAAGCACACGAGTGCACAGTCAGACCCTCACACACAAGCAACCGGGTGTCCTGGCAGCGCTGGCCTGCTGGCACATCACACTGGTAGGACAGGAGCAGGACGGGGCCCGCTGGTCCTGGGGAGGGGACTGTGGGATATGGGACACGGCACTGCCTGGGGACGTGCTAGCATGGGACATGACACTGTGGGACATGGCACTGTGGGGCATGGCACTGCCTGGGGACATGGTGCAGGAGCCAGGTAGGGGTCTGCAACAGGGACCCAGGGCCAAGATGCAGCCAGCCCGGAGCAGCCTGAGGAGGGAGCCGGGAACACGGGCTGGGTGCTCTGAGTTCCGAGGTGGTGCCGGGCAGCACGGCGACCCTGCCCAGCACGAGCCGGTTGGGTTGGCCCGGCGGAGTCGGGCCCGGGGAGGGGGCATCGGCGGTGGTGGGGACGGAGCACCCTGGGGCGTGCACGGGGGACGCTGGCCCGGTCCCCGGAACGGGAATGCGCGAGAGCGTGAGGCACGGCTCGGTGCGGAGCGGGGTGGGGAGCGAGCCCCGCAACCCCGGGCCCCGGCTCCGATCACCCTCATCCTTCGGTCCGTCGCTTCCTGCTCATGTCGCGCACCGGTCGGGCCCCCCCGCAGGACCCGCCCCCCCGCTCCTCGCTACTGAGGTGTCTCCTTTATTGCAAATATTTACACACGGCCGGGCCGGGCCCCGCCGCCCCCTCCCCTGCCCCGGCCCCGATGGACCGACGGGACAGATACGATAGAAAATAAAATTAAAAAAAGGAAATAACGAGAAACAGAGACAAAAGAGAAGATTGCACCATCCCCGCGGGCAGCGGAGCTGCGCTCGGTCCCTGCGGGCGCCGCCGTCTCAGTCCGCCACGTCGATCTCCTCCTCGGAGAGCTCGTCCGTGGGCGGCGGCGGGGGGGGCCCGGCGGCGGGGCCGGGCCCCGGGGAGCGCGGCGAGCTGCTCGAGGGCGGCGGGCGGCAGCGCCTGCAGCGAGGCCACGTCCGCGCGCATCTCCTCCAGGTCGCGCTTGAGCTTCGCGCGGCGGTTCTGGAACCAGGTGATGACCTGCGCCGTGCTCAGCGCCAGCCGCTGCGCCAGCTGGTCGCGGTCTGCGGGCGACAGGTACTTCTGGTAGAGGAAGCGCTTCTCGAGCTCGTAGATCTGCTGGTTCGTGAACGCCGTCCGCGACTTGCGCCGCTTCTTGGAGGCCTGGCGGGGCCCGAAGGCGCCCAGCGGCTCCCGACCTGCGGGGACACGGCGAGCTCAGCGCGGTGGCCCCCGGCCCGGTCCCGCCTCCCCGACCCGGTCCCGTCGCGTCCCAGCCCGCTGCACCGCCGCCCGCCCCCGGCGGCCCTCGCGTCCTCCCGGCAGCGCCCCGGCGGCGGCGGCCGAGCCGAGCCCTGGCGAACCGGGCCGAGCAGAACGAGCCGACCCGCGCCCACCCCTGCCCGGCCGTGCGGAGACGAGCCGGCCCGAGGCCCCGCGTTCCCGGCTCGCCCCGTGCCGCGTCCTGCTCCGACCGCCAAAGCCGTGCCGCCAAAGTCTACTGGGGCAATGCCGAAACGGGCCAGGCGGTGCAGAGCCGGTACCGAGCCGGAGCCGAGCCGTTTCGTGCCGAGCCATTCCCAGCTCCTAACCGTGCTCGAGCCCGAACCCCGGCGCTGCTCGCGGCGCCGCACGGAGCCCTCTCGGCTCCCGCTCGCCGCTCCGTGTCCTTGCCGACCGCCCCGACGCTCGGTGCCGTTCGCGCCCGCCGGTGGTGAGCGCGGCGCCGCCGCCGGCTTTGCCGTCCGGAGCCGCTGCGCCTGGCGGTGCCGGTACCGCGCGCTGCTTGTGACGGGCCCGATCCGCGGCGGCTCTGTCGTTGCCTCCTCTCGTTTAAACAAATTTCAATGGGCCGATGCGCCCGCGGCGGGCCCTGTCCGTCCGTTATGCAGCTCCTGCGCGCCGTCCCAGCTCGGGAATGGGGCTCTCACCCTGCCAGGCCCTCACCGGCGACCTGATTCGGTCCGCTTGCGGGGCTGCCCCGCCGATAGCGGTGTCCCGTTGCCTGCGGAACCGATCCGCCTCGGTGGGTCCCTCCGTGAGCCCTCGGTAACGTTTCACCGCAGCGCCGAGCCCGGGGCTGTCGGCGGCCCAGACTAGGGTCTGCCCGGTACCGAGTCCGTTGTTACTGGTTCGGCAGGTACCTGCTTCGCCCGTTCCTTGGCCGGTAACGAATCCCGCTCTCGATTCTGTCCGGTCGAGCTCTACTGCTCCCGATGTGTCGTTACCCCCGGCTCAGCCTCCCGTAACGGGCCGGACCCCGCCGATCCCCGTCGCGCTGCGCGGTGGCTCCGCTCCCGCCTCCGCCGCGCAAAATCCTGTCCTCTCCCTACGGGAGCGGCGATCGCGTCCCTGTGTCCGGCCGGGGACCGGCTCTGTCTGCGCGCAACGGGAATGTGTGTGTATGTCGATGTGTCCGTCCGGGGAAAGGATTTGATCGAAAACTACGGGAACGGCAGCGGGTCCCTCCGTGTCCCTGTGTTCATTCACTAAAGTAGTGGGGCTTTTTTTTGTTGTTGTTGTTTTTCTATTTTTTTTTTCATGGTAGCTCCTTTAGCCGCGGTCCGTGCCCGCGCCTCCATCCGGGGAAGTATTTTCTTTCGTTATCTACGGCAACGGCGATCGGCTCCTTCGTGTCCGTGTGTTCGTTCAAGGAAATGGTTTTCTTTCGTTATGTACGGCAGCGCCGATCGGCCAAGTCTGTCTGTGTCCTTCCGGAGAAATATATATTTTTTAATTATTATTTTTTTTTCTCTGACTACAGGATTGGCGATCGGCCCGTTCTTGTCGGTGTGTTCGTCCGGAAAATACATTTTATTTCATTTATGTATTTATTTTCGTTGGCTCGTGGATCGCAGATCGGCTGCGCACTGTTCGTGTGAAACGATTTTTCTTTCGTTCTCTCCTGGAGCGTGATCGGCCGTGTCCTTGTGTCTGTCTGGGGCAAGGCTGATTTACGGGGGATCGCGACTCGGCCCGGGCCCTCTCGGAAGGGATCTGGGCACCGCACGGCAGTAGCCCGCGCTCGGCCGCAGCCAGTAACGGCAGCGCGGGCGCCGTGGGGCCGCAAACGGAATTTCGTTGTTCGGTTCGTGCAGCTCGGCCTGGGCACGGCCGAGCCCACGAATCCGATAAGCAAATTCATCTTAGCTCCGAGGTTCCGGAAAACGGGAGCCCAATGGCTCTTTTCGTTAAAGGCGTGTTGTTACTGGCGGGACCGATCCGGCCGCGGCCGCTCGGTTTCCCCGTGCTCGGTAATGGACTCGCATCGAGCGTGGGGTCCCGGTCCAAGAGCGGGGCCGTTCTGCGGCCCTGCTATTAAAGGGGTTCCGTTGCCTGCGGGACCGATCCTCCTGGGTTCCTCCGTGCGTGCTCAGTAACGCTCCATAGCGGCACCGAGCCCAGAGCGGCCGGCGGACCAGCCCTGCTGCCGCCCGGTACCGGGTCCGTCCGCCCCGGCTCCGCCGGTACCTACTTCTCCCATTCACGGTTCTGCCGGTACCGGCCCCACCGGCCCCGCTTGTTAAATCTCCGCGCAGCCCCCGCTCCCGTTGTGCTCCCGGTTGTTCCCGTCGCTCTCCGGTGAGCCGTGGACGCTGTCTCCTCGCCTCTATCTCCGGTGCCGGCGGCCACTCGTACGGCTGATAGCTGCTCCGGGCGGCTCCGCCGAGCGTTCCTGCCGCCGCACTCCGCTAGCGGGGCTCGAGCCTCCGGCCCCGGGCCGATCGCTTCCCGCCGGAGCGCGGTGCAGAGATGCGCGATGCTGGGAGCGGTGCTCGGTCCCCGTTGTCTTCCAGGCCGCTGCCCGCGACCTCGCTGCGGGCCCCGAGGCCGCGAGTCCCGCTACGGACTTGGGGCTGCTTCGCCCCCCCCACCAGTGCTGACACGAACTTACCGGGGCCGCCGAGGCCACGTTGCAGCACGGAGAGACGCGGGCCCGGACGAACCGGTGGCGGCGGCGGCGCAGACCCCGCGTCCCCAGAGACAGGCGGCTCGGCGGCCGCGGCGCCCCGCAGGCACCTGCCCATCCCTCCCGGGCCGCACCGGGACCCGGGCACCGACATGGGGCCCCGGCCCCGCGGACGCCCCGCGCTGCCCCCAGCCCCCGGCCGTCACTCGCGCCGGTACCTTCGGCCGCCTGCAGCACGTTCAGCTCCAGCCCCTGGAAAGTTTTGCTGGCGAGCTCCTCCAGCGCGCAGAGCGGCGAGGAGGGCGCGGACACGCCGGTGCGCGGCGCGCCGGGTCCCGCCGCCTTGTCGGGCAGCCGTGCCGGGGCCGCGCCGTGCC